CACACGTTTGGAGGAGAGATCCGCCGTGTGCCCGGTGCCGTAATAAAGGATACCTGCTTAATAGTCTGCCGACTATTGATTCTTCAATTCCGGCTTTTCACGGCATCACCTCCTTTGCCAATGAAGTATCACTGCTATTTCAAGGGGTAGCTCTGTTTTAGCTGGCTTAAATGTTTCTGTCTGAATAACAAAAAAGGTTGCACTGGTCATATGGGACATACAAACACTTATGCTTGTTTCAAGGCCGGTAGGTGGAGCCCAAGATAAATAATACTGATTGGATATTTGACATTACTAAAAGCACAAATGTAGCTTAAAGAACTGTAATAACATGAAGCAGAGTTGATGGGGTGACAAAAAGATACTCTGTCAAATCAGTAGTACCAAATAATAATGCATATGGATTCTAGAAAGGCATTAAAGTGTTTAAAATATTTGTCCTAGATAATTGTGGCTAGTGTTATAAATTTATTCTGCCGCTGTTTTCCGATTGGCAGTTTTTGTGTAAGATTTATGTTGACCAGTACCTTTGCACAAACAGCTGGACTGAATTGATTATTTGAAGGGAACTCAATAAATCAGCTAATGGAGCCTGAGACCTGTTTATTAAGATAGTAGTCTTATGAATGATTAATTGTCAACAGGTTTTTATGGAGTAATCCATTTAATTATCTGGCAGGACACCTAATAAATACTGGGAGCCATATCTCCATAGTCAGCAAGAGTAGTCAGTGACAGTTGCCCATTAAAACTGTATTCTATATCCCTGCTTTCACCCAGTGTGGTTCTCTGCACTTTGTCAAAAAAAAGAAAAGTTTTAAGGAGTACCTACCTTTATTCATCCTGATGCTGTAAATGGGTACCTCTCAACTGTAGATTTGAAGGGCATGTCTTCTGAGCTTTGAGTGTCGTCTCTGAAATAGTCTGGCATGACTTAATATTTATAGATGTCAGTCTGGATGCTGGCACTCAGCCTTTCTGAGGTAGGGACCAATGAACAAAAGTGTACAGTATTATTGTAGGATATTGCTTGCTCCATGAACCACTCTGTTCGTACATTTTATTTAGCGTGTTTTGTGGGCAGAAGTTCACTTCTGATGGGCAGCCAGTAGTGTATCCTTGATGGTAGAAGCTGTAGCCCTTTACTTTCCAAAGGACATGCAAAGTTGTAACTACAGTGAATTATAAGTCACTATCTTAATTTTATAACAAATTGCTCAACAAACAGGCAAGAAATCACTCAATCTAGATTTCTTTTTTATATAGCTTTTTGGTACACTTCTTAAAGACAAACTAAAGCTGAAATTCTGTGCTTTTTTTTAACAAACATAATTTGTCCATTTTTTTTGTGGACTTCCGAGGAAGATTTTGCAACATGAATTCTCGGAGCTGTGGTTAGCACTGGTCATGTGCTGCTGCTTCTTTTGCGAAGACTTTGCTGTTGCTGATTCAGAGCCTTTTGGAATGATCAGTGTTTCATGTGAGTCACTGACTAATGCTTGGCTCTGGTGGCTTTGTGGTTCAGAGATGAAAGTTTATTTGCCCTGTAGGCTGCAGATTGGGAGGAAAAGGTAAGATAAAAGATTTGAACTGTAAAATTGAAATCTGCATACTCGAGATCTTTAGCATGTGATAAACTTGCTTTGTTGGTAGAAGTGGAACTAGCAGTAGCAGATCCAATAATGTGTGTTAAGAGTTTACTTGTTCAAAGTGTGACTAACGTGAAAGAATGCCTCTTTAAAAGCCTTTTAACCAGGTTTAGCTTTCCGAACTGCGAATGCTAAGTATGTCTGTCAGCAGACAACTCATTGCTTTTCATTTTTAGTGCAGCAACTTTTTTGCATCTTTGCAATGTGGCTTTTAAATGCAGCCTGTGAGTCTTGTCACTGAGATATTGGGGGCCAGGGAGCAGGAGGACCAGTTGTCTGCAGAATCCCCGTCTACAGAGCCTGGAACAGGAAGGAGGATATTTTGCCGAGCGTTGAGCCTAGTGCAGCATGGTGGTCGTTCATTGACATTCCTCCTGCTCCCATTTTGTGTTGAGTCAAGTTATTGTTAAGGAAGGAGTGCCGTTTCCATTTGCTTGTGGAGCTGTCTGTGAGTAGGTTGCTTGAGGAACAGAACAGCAGCAGTCAGTCAGCTAAAATAAACCTTTGCTCTTGGTTTTACATTTGTTGCAATATTCTAACTGTAATGTTGGGATCAGGGGTTGAAAGGTCTCATCTGTCCTAGTTGGAGTCTTGCATCAGTAACAACTGTGGCAAAAAGGTTCACTTTTTGAAGGGGGGAAGGGGGAGATGATCTGGTTGGTTTCTGTGTAGCCTGTACACGAAGTTACAGAAGCAATAACCACTGTGAGATTTGCCTTGCGTGGGGAAGAGGGGTGACTGTTATTTGCCCCAGCCTTGCTGGAGGATTGTTATACAGGACTGTGTGTCCCTGAGAGGGTTATTGGGGAGCCCAGTCTTCTAACGGGGAGAATCTGCCAGACTTGGCGATACCCCAGGTTTCTACAGTTAGCCAATGTGTAGTTCGTCCACTAGGCTGGTTGAGTTGACAAGAGTATGGTAGGGACCTGTTTGGAAGGTGCTGTGGAATGAATTATAACTACCAAACAGAAGAAGAAGTGTCTGGTGACAATGGAAGCATCTAGAGGCAGAGTATGTTTGGAGGTAAGAGAAGGATGTAAAGCAAGGAAAGAAGACTCTAGACTGAGACGAGACAAGGGTAAAAGAAAGGTGGCTGGTGCAGAATAAAGAACAAGGTAATGTTCCAGAGAATAAATCATGATTAGGAAGCTCTGCAATTTAAATCTCTGCTGGTAGAAGAAATGGTATCTGAATATAGTAACTGAGGTAGGGTATGGCGTATAGATACTACCTGGATATCTGGACAGCATCAGAAATTTACAGTAAACAAGTATAAAATGTTTCAGAAGTTCCTACAGTAGTGTTATATTTTAATTACATTATCTGGAAATGGCACCGTGCTCTAGTTCATAAGCTGTCTCTTGCTGTTGGAAGTTTGTGCTCTGATTTGAACCATGACTGTAATTTTGTTTTGCTTCAGTTTCTTTTGAAGAGTTGGAGGTGTGAACAGGTCGGTGTTATTTATGTTGAGTGACATAAAGTAGCTGGAGTACAAGAGCCCAAGTTTTGTGAAAAGCTAGTAAGATCTGTGTTTAGAAGATCCAAGTCTTCTAGAACTGGGAGTTTGGTTGTGCAAGTCCAGTATGATGGCAGTCTATTGAAAATTCAGCAATGGGAGTCTGAGAAGGGTGATAACACCTTCTTAAGATGGATTAAATTTTCAAAATAAAGCTGGCTGTGGATCTTTTTAAACACCTGGCTAGTAAATCAGCTATCGAAAATTCAAGTGTGCCTCTTCAATTTATGATTAATTTCTAAATGGATTATTTTGGGATTTAATTGGTAGAGGTGAAGAAAGCCTACGGCATGATTTAGTTCTGTTTGATGCCTTATTGTGTAATGGGTTAAATAGAAAATAGTTTGGATAGCTAGGCTGTTGATGCTTCTAGCTGGTAGACTACGAAGTAACATCTTGGGAGGTGAATTCCTTTTGTCACAGAACAGAGTTTAAAATACTTTGAGGTGTATGTACGCACACACTCTCTTGTCCTGATTTTCTTTTGCCTTGGCAAGCGTGTCAGGAGTGTTGCACCTCTTTTTAAGTTGTTTCATTTCCTGTAACAGAGGAGTCTCTCTGCAGAATATGAGATTGCAAGACTGAACTTGTGCCATGACAGCGACAGCCAGCTAGTTGTAGTGCGGAGCTGTGACTTAACAGGAGCCAGCAGCTACTGGCAAGCTGTTAATTTAAAAAAATCCATATAAATGCTGCACTTGTCGTACTACTTCTGGTAGTGTGAAATGTAGTCAAGGTTATCCATTTCCTGATATTTCTTGAGGTAAATGATGTGGAAATTAAAGAGCAGACAGACTTTTTATGTATGTGAAAGTATGGCTAAAAATCCTACTTTTGGTACAGAAGTTGCTTCGGTCACTGGGTTGCCCAGATGTTCTTACGAGTTGTGGTACTGAATTCTACTTGTCCCCCTTCCGTCTTCACTTGCCTGAAACTTCTGCATAGATGAAGCTCTCGGTAGTAGTAAAATGTGGTTATATGTGGTTAGTTGGTGACATTCGGATAACTGTTTTAGCAGCCACAGAAAGTAAAGATCGGGCTGTGGTTT